GAGGTGGATGGAATGACTCCAGAGTTAATTACGAACAGTGGAACGTGAATGATAGAAACGCTCCTTGCCCTTTATCATAAAATGTAGACCTAAAAACGTTACCCAGAGAAATAGAACTGTGGGGCAGTTGTCTCCATATTTAAAGGTGGTTGAACGGATCATCGAGCAACGCTTACGATTTCGGTTGCTTTTTGCCAGTTTCCTCGACTTTAAAGCTGCGTTTTATTCAATGCATCGTCAAACGATGAATCTGAAAATGCTGTGCGATATCTGAACGCATCGTTTCTGTTTTGGAAGAGGTGTGTGTAGGAACCATGTCTGCTGATAAGGTCGAAAAGGTCGAAACGGAACCATATAAGTGGTACTCTATTAATTGTTGAGTCGCCAGGGAGATGTGCTTTCGCTTTTGTTATTCAGATTGTTTTCGAATTAATTTTCCGGCACTCTGCTGATCCTGGCAAAGGCGAATGTCTGATTCTAAAGGGAAGACGCAGTTTAAGATATTTTGCTAGATGGTACTGCTGTGTTACGCGAACCGAGGTTTGCTACCTGACAGAGCATCCCTATGCAACACAGTTGCGAAAGTCGGCCTCTTTTAACGTCAATTAGTCAGTCGTTATGAGGAACCCATGCGGCACAGCTGATCTCAAGTTGAATAGGGAGGTGAAACTCTTCAGGAGGTTGACCAGTTTAAGTATTTCTGTTTCATGATCTCCAGATCCAGCCAGAGTTAAATAGAAGCATCGCCCTGTATCCCAGTTCTTCTGTAAACTGCCCACTGGGCTGACGAAGGAGTTACTCTTCCCTTGATAAATACCTTTCCTCTGTCAAGTCAGTGCTGTTGTACGGCATGGAGACAGTTGTTCTAACGAATGAGCGAAGACGGCGGTTGAACTGCATAAAGCAGCATTGGCTTAGATGCATAACGATGGTTAAAGAGCACAGTTACGTAAGAACGGCGTCTATTCTCTTCTGGGCACATATGATTTCGGTAGATGTGAAGATTAAAAAGATGTAATTAGTCCTGTTAGACAGACCACTTGAGCATATGACATTTAATGACATTTAACATTTTCTATTTTGTTACTGCATGGAAACGGTGTAATGGCACCGTCCTCTTGCTTCTAGCCCCCGAGGGGACCATTTAAGCAAGCCACGGCTACATGGAATTTGAGCACCTGCAGTGCATGGATGGAAAATTGCATCATGTTACATTTTCTCCAGTCCCTGAGCTGTTTGGGTAGGCTTCGAATAATAACAGACATCGACCAGAGCAGCATGCAACTTTGAGGAACAAGATAGCGGCAGATCTGCATGTGGACAACAATATTTCCTTGTTCGATGCAGTATCCGGTGCTTTATAGCAAGTTTTTTAAAAGCTGCAGATACAGCTGACATCACAAACCGGAGACGTACTGCTTATGCAAATGTCTCAAGGTGATGATCCTAGCAGGCACATTTCTCTAATTAAACCTTTATTATTCTTTAAAATGCATTCACTGTGTAAGCCTTTTTCTAGTCTTAGTCATCTTCCTGTATGTGCTTGAGGGGCGTGGTAATTTGTTTATGTAATTTTTAAAGGCTCTGTCATACATATTCTAAACAGCTTGCTCAATGACGCAGTCATCAGTTGAGTCAGATTTTTTAACTCGTAATCAGCTGCAGGGTAGATTAGAAATTTAAGAAGCGGCAGCTCAGCAAAACATGCTCTTTTGTGTCTGTGACAAATTACGACCAGTGTAACCACGGATACACGAGTTCTTGCAGATCACATCACTATTCCCCTGCATTCAGTCTTGAAGTTTCCAGACATCTAGCCGCAACTTTCGGAATATCCGTGCCGAGCACACAATCCTTGAGGGTGCTTAACCAGATAGATCTGAGAATGACTCTCATTTCTTATAAGTTGTCAAGGAACGAGTAACATGTCACTGTTTTGCGTATGGATAAAGTCGTCTTTTATATGAAAGCCCCTGCCGTTTGGTCCTCAACGCATCAAAGCCAACTTGTTGCAAGTGCTTCATTAGTCAGTATTATGGTCCTTTTTGTACTGTTCTGCTGTACCTCTTCACTGCGTCGTTGTAGGGCACCAGCGGATGAACGACTTCATCGCCGAGAGGTCTACACTGCTACAGATTGTGCCGTATTGCATGATACCAATGGTAATGACTCTTATTTTACAGAAGCCTTCCTACTTTCTCAATCCGGTTTGAGAGTAGCTATGGCTTAGCTGAATATTGTCCATATATCGTATGGTCTACTTATCGTTATGGGAAATAAAATTTTAACATTTGTTTGTGCTATTAGGTTTATGATAAACAGCAGTTTTACGGTTACCGGAGCTGATTAGTTAAGCTTCAAAAGGTGCTTAGCGAATCAAACCGTCTTTTGTTTCCGTGGTTAGCCCAGTGCTTTGTGAGACAGAAGGCTGTTGAGATCGTCGAGGATTATGATTGTTTCAGTATCGTTTGTACAGATGGAAATCTCATCCATATAACTTTCGAGAAAATCTCGGGAGACTCTAGAATTTAGTTTCATTGATCAGCTTTTCACATTGTTTCTTGAGGATATCTGCATGAATGGTGAAATAACTTTCTTGGCCAGATTCCACGTTACCCGTCCGTTGGTTCTAGTTGCTTAGGGGTCTACGTAAACGGGCTTCGACTATATGGTATTTGGTCACCTGCAGTGCCAGTATATCTGGCATCAGTTTGTTCCTTAGAGCCGCTCGCGCTCGTCACGAACGATGTTTCAGAAGTTAGTACTCATTCCGTATATGATACCGCACGAACAGCGTAAGCTGCTCGTACGCCCCTTGTGTCGAATAACGAAGGACTCTTCCAAGAGCAGAATATGGAAATGTAGATTGCCATCGGTACTTCGTACTTACTTACTTCGGTACTGATTTGTTCGAAAAATCTAATATCGAAGCATAACTAATTATCTCTGTTGTACTGATTAGACTGAATGTAGAGTTAAAGAAAAGCTTTTTACATTTATTTAATAAACTATCTTTCAAACGCTTACTATTTTGATAGTACCTGTACTGTTATTATGACATCTACATAATGATACTCTCCAGTAATCTCAATCTCTTTTTGATGGTTGCATAAGTCTTTGGAATATTTGATACATGATTCGTTTGTTCTTGTTAAGAATCAG